TCAAGACCCGCTTCATCAAGACCCCCTTCATCAAGAGCGGCGTCATGGAGACCCCCTTCATCAAGACCCCCTTCATCAAGACCGGGTTCATCAAGACCCCCTTCATCAAGACCGCCTTCATTAAGACCCGCATCATCAAGACCCGCTTCATCAAGACCCCCTTCATTAGGACCCGCTTTATCAAGACCCGCATCATCAAGACCCGCTTCATCAAGACCCCCTTCATCAAGATCCCCTTCATTAAGACCCGCTTCATGGAGACCCGCTTCATCAAGACCCGCTTCATGAAACATCTGGCCTGACGTCTCTAACATCTGGCTCAGCTTTGGCTGGTCAGCAGAGGGGGGGCGGCGCCTCTGCTGGAGAATCATGTCCATAAAAAGTCACATTGAAACACGTTATTTTTTGTTGAAATGTTGAGAAAATATTGAAAAAGAAGAAGATCGAAGAGACTACGACGTAATATAACGTGAATCACTGTATAAAGTCTGTGTTACTTGTATCATAAAAACACCAAATAACAGTAAATATGTGTGTCGAGGATTGTATGACCTTATGATGTTGTACCACGTGGACCGGAGGTGATCTCCCAGCATGCTTTGTGTTGCAGTGCCAGTACGCCTTCCTGCATCAGTGCGTGCGCGACGTGCTGCGAGCGCGGAAGCACCGCGGCGAGCAGGAGAAGCCGCTGTGTCCCGTGTACGAGAACTTCAACCCCGAGTACTGCCGGGGTGAGCGAGCGACCACTGATCAATACCTGCCGATCGGCTCCGGTGCTCAAACCTCTTCTGCTCCCTCAGATTTCATCTTCAGCGGACGCTGAGCGCAGGAGAGACGGAGTGATGCTCACAAACAACAACAACAACAACAACAGACAATACGGCCAGCTGGTTTTATACACATTAAAACAGACCAAGGCTGTAACGCGTTAGTCACAAAGAAACATTTTAGTAGTTTATTCATATTTAACGTCAATTTGTGACCAGATGAAAACTTTAAAAAAAATCACAATTTAAAACGATGCCTTTAAAAAAAAAAGGCTGATCAATAAAAGTTGTAATCTGTTTATTTATGAGTCACACACATCGCTGTATGTAAATAATGCTTCTTTATACGAGTAGACGAGGTTTTCTATTTATCACATTTAATGAAAATTAGCTGCAAGAACTTCATCACGTTGTTGATATTTAGACATAAAGTCCAATTAGCAGAAAAAGATTTGACTCTTTTTGAAATGTATCAATAAATAACTTCAGTTCTGTTATATTGAATTGTGTTATTAAACATAATATAAACATTATGTTGTTATTATTAGTGATTAAAGGTTCATTTTACTCGGTGTAACATATTTATTGGATTATTAAAAGAGCCGAAAAATAATCGTGTTGCTCAATTCTTTTCTTTTTATTTTGCAGAAAGTCAAATTTCTAATTCTTGTTCTATATAATATATTATTTATATATATATATGGTTGAAATGCACTTATTGTAAGTCGCTTTGGATAAAAGCGTCAGATAAATGACATGTGATGTGATGTGATGTGATGTATTAACAGACAAACGTCACAGTGTTTGTTTACAGTACAAAGACGCACAACGTTTAGTGTTAGAAGCTTCCAGGATAACACACACACTAACAAATAAAAACATCTATTGACAAACAATGTGAAGTAAACACATGAACCATCAAATGTGACAACAACAAACAACAACAAACAACGTGTCGAGCCCGTCGGGGAGAAAAGGCAGAATGCAGCTTATTGGAAAATAAGTCTTATTACAGTAAAACAATGGAAGTAATGATGTAGCCCCGCCCCCCAACGGGACCCCGCCCCCTTTACAGGTCCACTTAATCATTCTCTATTTAGTGACAGATTCTAACTATTGATCAAGTTATTTATTATATTATTGATTTCAGATCGCTGGGAAGTTCTTCTGTGAAACATCTGATCTGCTATTTGATCTTATTGATATAATTCATCCTATTGATCTTATTGATATAATTCATCCTATTGATCTGTTATTGATATAATTTATCCTATTGATCTTATTGATATAATTCATCCTATTGATCTGTTATTGATATAATTTATCCTATTGATCTTATTGATATAATTCATCCTATTGATCTTATTGATATAATTTATCCTATTGATCTTATTGATATAATTCATCTTATTGATCTGTTATTGATATAATTCATCCTATTGATCTTATTGATATAATTCATCTTATTGATCTTATTGATATAATTCATCTTATTTGATCGGATTGATATAACTTCATCTTATTGATCCTTATTGGATATAATTCATCTTACTGATCAAAATCCTCTTATAGATCCTAGTGGCATAGTTGCCCTAATCGATCTGCTATTGGTAAAATTTAGCCTATGGAACTAATAGGGATAAATTGTCTAATGGATGTTAATGTGAAAATCCATCCCGATTGCTCGGTTACTGAGGTGAATTAAACCCGA